TGCCAGGTGCTGGCCAGGTACCCATGATGTCTGCATGGTCTTTAGGGGGAAGGGCGATGCCTTTGAGCTTTAGTGGTGAGACCATTGTAGGAGAGCCCTCTATCCATTCGCGAACTTCCTGTGGGTCTCCATCAGAGACAGTCTGCCTGCTAGACCCAAGTCCCAACCACCAAACCAGACCTTTGCTTTGTGTCCAAGGTGGCCGTCCGAACTCCCACTGTGGTAGATTCACTGGAGCCGACTTTAAAAAAACAAACAAAACATTCTGGGTCTAGCATTACCTCTGGCTCCAAAAATCAAAACAACAGAATGGTTGCAAGTGTGGTAGCTTTGGACCAGACCAAGCTCCCAAGGTAGGGGTAAGTTCCCCCCTACCTTGTGGGGCTGAGTCACGGGGCAACTCTGTTGGGCTGGGGGGCCGGTGGGGGCTCAGCAAGTCAGGGTCCCCTCCCCTACCTTGCTGGAGCCTTGGTCATCCTCAAGGCAGGTGGGGGGGGGGGGGCAAACTGAGAAGACCAAGAGGGAAGCTGTAGGTAGAGTGGGGAGGTGACAGCCGGGGGCACCCCATGTGGCCCCTTCCCAGGAGAGGAAAGGGAGGGACATTCAGGGCTGATGCTGACAAAGCGCACCTGCTGTCCGTCCCTGGGGCCCAAGAAGGCCTGTACCGTCGTCTTCCTCTACCTTCGTGCCTCAGACTCCTGCGCCCACCGGGGAGAAGGCCGCACGCATGCTTCCCGAAGCTCACGCTGGTCCGATGCCTTCCCTGACTGGTTAGAGAGGCGCGCTGAGCAGAGCCCGCATGGGTACACTTAACCCAGCTGCCACAAGAACGTTTTCAAAACTCTTGATGATTCCGGTCCATTATTCGTCTTGTTCAGTGGTACCCAGTTCACTGGTCTTAAACACAACACCTGCAGGCTTAGGCCTTGGGCTCTGAGTGTGGGCTGTGTCTGGCCAGGCCTGGAGGACACACCAGCCACGTTGTCCTTGCCCTTTGTGCCTTCTTCTGAAGTGCCGGAGAAAAGTTCCAGGCAAACAGCCCCGAAAAGACCACCTTCCTCCCTCCCTGCAGGAGCAGAGTGGGGGAGGGGAGCGGGTGCCCTGCGGGCTCCAGAAAGCCCCTGGATGCTGTCGGGGTTCAAGGCTCTCTTGAACTGCCCATGCTGCTCCTTCGGTCCCCTGTGACCGGGGACATCAGTGTGGCTCCTCAGTCCCCGCTGTCCCTACTGCTGAGGGGAGGCAGGATGATAAAGAGGTGTGATCCTCAGGGTGTGTGGTAAGCTTGATGTTGTCAGAGCGGAGTCCAGTGCCCCAGCTAGTTCAGGAACGGACTCTCAGCTCTGAGAAGCTGGGAGGGGTGCGTCTTACTCGTGCACGCTGCGCAGACCCTCGCCGTCCGCCCCGTCGGCCAGACCCTGGGGAGTGGTCTCAGGAGCCCGTCGTCTGCTTGCCTTTCAGACGCTCCCCAGAGGAAAGGGGGGGGGGGGCTCTGCAGGCGGGGAGGGTGCAGCCAGAATGAGAGTGGGGCGTCTCTACCCCTGCTTTCATTCACCAGGCCGTCGTCCCGGGAGCGCCAGGCGCCTTCCCCAGGAAGTGTCTCTCTCTCTCCTGGACGCATCTTTAGACCCTTGGGGGCCTCTTCCACTGCACACCTGTCCCAGCGAGTCGTCCGCAGAGCATCCTCACCTCCAGGGCAGGTGTCCTGAGGACCACCCCCCCCCGCGGGGCTCTGGCCTGAGTTGCTCTCATTCGATGCGCTGACTGGCGCCCTACGTGAGGACTCCGGCTGGGGCTTGCGCACGTGATCCACGCACCTGACACCCATTCCCAGATGGGATTGTGACCACAGAGACGGGAGGCAGCGTCCGACATGACCCTGAACCGCTGAGCCTCCTCTGTGTCCTCTGCTCCAGGAACAGGGGAGGCCGGCCTGGCTGTCGTTTCCGGTGAGCTTGGGGCGCTGGAAGTGCTGGGATGGCTAATGACTGCCAGCTGTGCCCCCCCGTAGCTGCAAACGCCTGCTCTTCCCCAGAAACGAATCCCATTGAGTTGCTCCCTGCCGGTAAGACACCTGTGACAAAAATGTCCTGCCGCATCCGCATGCCCTGTCCACTCTGCCAGGCCAGGAGCCTCGTGGACTACTCGACGAGATCCTACAAGGCCGCCCACTTGGGTGGATGGTGACAATGTACCCAGAGAACTCGGAGCACAGGGCTGGGGAGAGCCGAGGGGACGGACTACCTGGAAGGAGGGCTGAGGATGGAGGGACAGGGAGGGCTCCAGTTCATGTCAGCACATACTGGAAGGAGCAGATGGAATCTCCCCGCGGCAATGGCGCGTGGCGTGCAGGGGTGACACTCCAGAGTGGCCGCAGGCTCGGGACCCCCCTGGCATCGTGAGCGTCGCTTTGGGCTGCTGCCTGCAAGGCTGGCCCGCACTTAGAACCCTGCAGACTGCTCTGCAGCAGGAATTGGAGACCCTCTGGTGGCAGGCTCGCTGCAGGCTGGCCCCGCACCTGATGGCAGGGAAGTGGGCTATTCAGAGGGGCCCTGGGCCTGGAGAGGCTTGGGTTCTCATGAGCATGGGCCAGAGAAGAGGGGATCCTCGAGTTTGGGCCATTTATAAAATGTATTGCATCGAGCACATCTGTTGCACAAGACCCCTGAGAGGTGTTTATAAGCAAAGGTGCCCCCTTGTAGACAGAAGTGGGCCAGGCCCACACCATGCCGCCTCCCATGCAAAAGCTGCCCAGGTAGCAGGGCAGAGAGAAGAACTGAAGCCTTTGAATCACAGTGTCGGCCAAGAATGGCGCATGGCCTGCCCAATGAAGGCGTGGGTGTGTGAAAGTCCAGCAGAGTGTCCCTTAGACGAAAGGACTGAGAGACTTCTTCTCGTGGACTTTGTCCACGAGAAGGACAGCATACCTCAGTGGAGAGAGAGCAAGAAAGAGGCAGACCCTTAAGGAGAGAGGTTGGCTGACCCCGGGCTCGTCTGGGTAGACTAGAGAAACAAATACTTGGACACACATATGTGTATAAGGAAGAGGTTTAGATACAAGAGGAATTGTACATGGAGAAAACATCCCAACCCAGTCCCGTCCACGGCCTTAAGTCTGATATTAGCCCTTATGTCTGATCCCAATTTATATAAAGTCCTCTTCAGACTCACGAAACACATGCAGGACGATCACAAGCCGGTGGGTAGAAAGTCTTTGGGTCCAGTGGCGTTGTAAGCATCTCTCTGTGGTATCTCCGTCTTTAGAGGTCTGGTTGCACCCATGTGGCTTGTCTGGCTCAGAGCACGAGAGCACGAGAGCGAGATGTCAGTGGCTATGGTAGGGGTTGGATTTCTCCGGCCCTAAGGAGTGACTTGATATGATGACGTACCATCAGTGAGCAAATGCCCCTTCTCAGGAGTCTGCATCCACTCCTGCAAGGGTATCTGTGTGCCGCTGTGTCCTGGCTCGCGCAGGAGAGGGGAGCATTCTGACTGCCCTGGGTGGCACAGTGGCCCAGGGTCCCACTGGACACGTGAAGTCCCAGTCCATCTCAACCCCCACCCCCCAGGAGCTGCGTGTGTGGTGCCTGGAATCCGACCGGCATGGATTTGCGTCCCAGCAGCCCTGTATCTGGGGTCTCTCCCTGAGTGTGCTCCCATCTCGCAGCATTGAGATTGATAAGACCCAAGGTTCTGTTTATTCTTCCCCAGATAGCTTGTTAATCCACCTAATTCCCTCCGCCTGACTTGCCCCTGCAAGGGGTGAGCACGCTCTCACAGGAGGGGCCTTGGGTGGAGCCCAGGGTTCTGCCGGGGGTCATTTGTCTCCCCAGTTCTCACACACAAACACATTGTACAAACAGTGCAGCACTGCACCCCTCGCAAGACTGTCCTGGCAGTCTGCTTTTGAGAGGTCGGGGCCTGGAGAGGCCTGTGGAGCAGTCCTCTGCTCAGGCCTTCCTCCCCGCGGCACACGTCCTCCAGTCCCTCCTGCTGTCTGATGGTCCCTGCCTCCACAAGAACGCTCCTTCCGCTGGGGCAGCGTGCTGTGTATTTCCAGTGCCCAGCAGACACTTGGAAAATACAGCGCGTGGGTGGACGGACGGACAGACGACTCACCTGAGATGCACTAAGACCATGTACCTGAACCACTTGCTACTGTGTCTGAGTCGATCAGTCGTGAACAGATAGGGTTTTTGTTCACTCGTCCGTTCATGACATCGGTCAATGCCTGGCACGATTGGGGATATGACAGCAGGTGTAACAGATGAAGTCTCTGGCCCCAGGCCCTGCGTCCTCGTGGCTGTAGGAACAGTAGATATGGAGCATCTGCCATAGCTATACATTTTTTCCCACCCAACCCCGGGAGAAAGGTCACCCACTTGCTGCCACTCCTGCCCGTCGCCACTCACCTCGGCCAGAGGAAGCTCCCGGCCCAGGACTTGCTGAGAGGGACTCGGGCCTGTGGGGCAGACGTAAAACAAGAACACCCAGAGCCCCGTCCGGAAGAAGCACCTAGGCCAGGCCTCTTGTGGGGGTCCTAGGCGAGCAGCACCCAAAGGAATGCAGGGCGAGCCTCCCGCCTCTGAGGAGGGGAAGGCCTGGGCTGAGCGCTCCTGCCGGGTCCTGCCCTCCTCACCCTCACCCGTCCTGAGGGGGCTCGCTTTCACTGACCCTCGGCCAACCATGTCTTCCCAGGGCCTGGCCTGCCCCAGAGACCCTGTCAGTCAGGTCAGCAGGCCTGCGGGGAAATGCTCACCTCCAGATGAACTGACTGCTGCACCCTCAGCCAGCCCTGGCCTCCCTGCCCCTCACAGCACACTGTCAGCGAACAGGTCCAGTGGTGTCCCTTATGCGGTCTGCAAACATTTTCCCAGGAACCTTAGGAGAATATTTTAAAGCCAGAGCTCTCCGGCCTCATGCCCATGCATGCATTCTCAGGCTCCACTGCTCTTGCTCTTCCAGGGACTCCATCAAGCTAAACTTATCTCCTTCCATTGCAGAAGTTTCCAGAACTGAAATTCAAGTACGTGGAGGAGGAGCAGCCCGAGGAGTTCTTTATCCCCTATGTCTGGTCCCTGGTCTACAACTCCGCCACCGGCCTGTACTGGAACCCCCAGGACATCCAGCTGTTCACGATGGACTCTGACTGAGGGCCCCCCGGCCGCCACCCCACCTCCAAGCAGCCCCCCAGTGATTTTCTCCCTGGGGACAGAAGCAGGCAGACACAGGGCCTGCTGTCTCTTCTGCTGCTGAGGATGACATGAAGCGTGCTTCCCCGCCACTCTGAGTGGGGAACCTGTGCCGTTGGCAGCCGAGCACCCAGCTTAGAGTGTAGAGCGAAAGGGGGCGTGGGCACCAGCCAGTAATAAACCTGGAAACCTGCTACGCGGCCTGCAGTGTTCATGTCTGAGCCCCAGCCCAAGCTTCCCCGGGTGCCCATCCCGCTCCACCAGGGCCCAGCTCTCCCTTTTGGGGGGTGTGCATGTGCGAGTGCATGCGTTCCTTGTTCACGTTATCCGTGACCCACTACGGGTCAGTTCCCGTTCGTAGTGACCCTAAAGGACAGAGCTGAGCTGCCTGGGCTGTGATCTCCACAGAAGCAGACTCCCACAGTGTGAACCGCTGGCCTTCCCGGAGCAGCCACGTATTTTAAGCACTGCGCCCCCAGGCCTCCGTTGTTAGCATGTTGGTCCAGGCTCATCGTGCCCCCTGCCCCACCCTCCCGATCATTAGGGCTGAGCCCATTGCTGCAGCCACTGCGTCGTCCTTGGCTTCCTCTTTCACTGACCCTCCACTGGGCCTTCCTTCTCTCTCCGAGCACTGGTCTGAGAGACATTGTTAACATTAAGGAAGACCAGCCTAGAGACGGATAAGACAGGACACTGACCCTGGGTGCGCTGCTGCGGATCTGGCCTCAGCACTGAGTTAAGTCAGAGCCCAGCACAGGTTAGACGACTGTCCAGACGGGTCACTCCAGACCCTCGGCAAGGGCCATGGGGCGGGGTAGAACTGCCCCCCGCGCATTCCGAGGCTGGGAGGAGGAAGTCTCGTGTGTGTGTGTACACGTACACACACGCACGCGCGCTCTCTCGAGAAGTGGCTGGCTTTGAACTCCTGAGCTTGGGGCTGATAGCCCCATCAACGTGTAAACCACTGCGCCACCAGGGCTCCCTTGCTCTAATCTACTCTGTGTTGATCTCTAGGAAGGAGAAAGCCTCCCGTGAGCGAGTCTTTTTGCCTTCAGTCTGCGAGTAAGAGGATACAGGAGACCAATCTGATGAATACTAGACCCCACACGTGGGGCTTCCCCTGCGTTTCTGATGCTGTAGCCTTCTGGTCCCGGGGGTGGGGAGGGGCAGCACTGGGCTGCTGAGTGGAGTGGGACCGTCCTATCTCACCACACTGCCCACAGGAGGCCCCGTTCCAGCCTAGCGGAGCCTCTTCTCATCCTCAAAGGCAGGGCCGGCACCCGCTCCCTGTAGCCACAGCTGGCCGTGAAGGTGAGGCACCTGCCAAAGGCTTAGTCCACACAGCCCCCTGTGATTGACAGCCACTGCAGGCCTGCGGTGACCTTGCCAGCAGGGCGATTCCACTCACCTCACCTGGGCAGGTGGTGACACGCTGGCTTCCTGAGGATGAGGGGCCGTGGCTTAGCGGGAAGACCCAGCACACAACCATCTTGGCACTCTCCGCCTCCGGGTCTCCTGCAGCAACACTTCACCGACAGTGGTGTGCACCACGTCACTCAGTCGGGCCTGGGGAAGGAAGGCGAGGGGTCCTGGTGGCATCGTGGGGCTCCACTGTGTGATACAGGGTCAGCAGTCTGAAACCACAGCCACTCCAATGG